GTTATTTTCCAAAATGAAGTTATCACAATTTGAAAGCAAAGTGAAATTAAATTACAACAGGATGATTAAGAACTCAGAAAACAGAAGTACCAATCAGCTTAATTCTACATGTACTTTGTTACGTAAGATCACATGTATTTTAGCACTGTTAAAAAAAGTGGAGAAAAAACCATAAAAAACAACAAAGTTGAAAAATAACAGCAAAGCATAGAGGTAAACCTGTATCACTTTATTTTGTGCTATCAGGAAACTCTGAAAAATACTAAATATTATTTTGGATATTTAAGAATAAGATGGGGTATCCACATTTCATTTACTAGATCTATCTATATGAGTATGTGAAAGGAAAGTACATTGCTTTGGACTCTTCTGGAAAAATTCAGGAAAAAAATATATTTAGCTCTGCATTCTGCATACTGAAGTCAATACAAATAGAGCATCTTCCTTCACACGTGAATTTAAAAAGAAATGTTTATTTGGGCGTTCTACACCATCTAAATTTCAGGCAACCTATTTGGGTGGTTATATTAGGTAACTTCTCTTCTAGAATTTTTCCTGTCTGTAGTAAGTGGGGATAAGTTAGTCCTAGGGAACAAATTCTTCACATAAATTAAGAGTTGGCTAAATCTCTTCAGTCTTTAAAAAAACCAAAAATGTCATATTATAGGAAGTAACCAGCAAAAAACAGAAGAAAGAACAAAATATCGAAGCAAATAAAACTGAAAGCCATGCAAATATTTACAATAAACACAAAAGAACAAACTGTCTTCGTATTAGGGACTAAGGACCTAACTGAGGAACACACCACACCTATCCAAACTTGGGCAGACTGAATAGAACAACAATGTGAATCTCAAACTGTAAATATAGAGTTGTTACTCTATATGCCAGAACATGGATGTGTCTCCACTCAGTTATGTGACTATGTATATGGAATGCAGTGATGAGAATTACTCAATGATATGCATATAATGGAGAAAAAAAAAAGCAAACAGTGGTGCTCTGAAACAACTGGACTAGCAAAACCAGAGAGAGGCTCCAGACATAATTTAGGTAAGGGCTTTAGAACATGTCTCCAGATAAAAGAGGCTTGCAGATCTAAATGAAACTCTCCGGTTTGTTTCTTCGTGTAAGATGGGAAACAGTACATTCATTGTAAGTACACAAGATTACTAAAGAATGTCTGATTCCACCACAAACTTTATTTTTCCATAAAAAACCTAAATGATATTATATTTGCCTGGCTGATGAGATCAAAAGGCAGCAACATAATGAAGATGTAAAGCCAGTATGAAAAATCGTTTTTTAGAAATGTATCAATATAGAAAAGAAAAAAGATAAAGGAATGCAGAGTTAATCACCAGATAGTAAATACAAACATTCTATCTAAGAGTTAACTCAAACTTGAAAGAAAGCCTTTTACAACACAAATACTTTAGGTGTGTGAGTTAGACCCAAATAGTACATACCCCACAACAGACAATAACCAGCATCAAAAAATAATTATCTAAAAAAGTAAAAATTATACACAAAAGTATACTTCAACAGAAGTCTGAATTTAAAAAATATCTAGATGGTCTTACTAAAGATCAACTCCAAAAATACCCCACCAAACTCCCAAAACTCACTCTCAGAAGGAGGCATGAGGTGTCAGCTGTAGCATTAACAGACATTGGTCAGTTCCCTCTTTCAATTGTACTTCCAGATAAAATTAACATGCAGGTATGCAAGAAAGACCTAAATTAGTATCCCTGTTAAGAAAATTTTGCAGTATGGACTACATAACTACATTAATTAGGCACTAAATAACCCTTTTTATAAAGGAAGGTTATGAAAACTATGAGGGGCAGAGGAGCTTGAGAAAAGCTTTCATAAATTCCAGCACTTGAGAACTATTTCTGTAACATCTATGACCAGCAATCATTAAACTGCTGAGTTTTATCCTTGGTTGTACTGTACCTGATCTTGTTCTGGGAAAAAAATACCTATTATACCAAAGTAAGAATTAGGCTGTCTGAGAAACCAATTTTCTTTGTTGTCTGAATTTAAAAAACATTTTAAAAACTTAAAAATATAGTGCTCCTGAAGAATTACGATAAAAGTTACTCAACTCTTCAGCCATGCTTTATGAGACAACAGCTCATTCATAATACCAAATATTCATAAGTTAATCACCTTCTTGAATGCAAAGACTGGTTTGACTGGTACTGCAGCAGCTGTGTAAATACTCATACAGGTCATCTTACTCTAAACACTGCTTATAACTGCTTAGATTTTGCTACAACGAGCCTTAAAAAGTAAAAGGACTGTAAAAAGGTAGGTGCCATTCTGCTTTCTGTTGAAGCACCTGAATGACTATTGTGTGTCCTGATGCAAATATATAGCTCAAAGTGCCTTTCTTTGTACAGCAAGTTAGTTTTTTTAAAATCTATTTTTAATAGTTTGAAATTAACCACACTTATATCACATAACATAGGAAAAGTTTGAATTAAACTCATGCCAACAACGCTTATATAATTTCAAAAACAACTCAAACGCTTTGTTACACTATAAATATTTCAGCAAAATACATTTACTTCACATTTAGGGTATGTGCTACCTACAGCAAAGTTGCTCTGCGCTGCATAATGTAGGGGTGTTGCACCTTGACTATCAGATGGGATGGTTCCAAACTTATTTCTTTCTAATAAGAGATGGACAATCTGTGCATGACCTGAGAAAAATAACATAATAAAACCAGATAAATATCAAATCCTAAAGTTAAACATCTCAATATTAAAAAAAAAAAAAGAAAAAACCACAACAAACCAAACCAAAACAAAACTTTGCAACGAATTAGTTGAACTTTTCCAGAAAAAGCTTATGGCAATTCAGTTGAGACAATGCACTTGAGTGACAGGTCAGTCAGAAACAGTAAAGTGATCATAGACTGATGATGATGAGCATTTCTCCATTATTCGTACATTAAAAGACAGGTTAAACTAACATTGACAATTTCATCATAGGTCACATTGTTTTACAGAAATCAACTGCAAATTCTTTACTTAGGATTTGTTTAACCAAAATTTCAACTGAAAATGTGTATCAGAATCTGGAGGTCAGTCTACTACCAGGTACCATAAACAACAAACTCACACACAACTCCTTCCATCAAAACAGATTAGAATATTTTTAGATTAAAATCACAACATTTTTGAGGGATGGGTAAAATTTATATTGACTTCATAGACAGGAAAACAAAGACAGAGTATAGTATATTGCTGCTAAAGTCAACTGATTCATTCATATGCTTGCTTGAAAGCATAAAAAGAAGAGATGTAATGTTGCTATGCTCTTCCCACCTGAAGACTATTAGAAGTAAAGTGAGGTGCACTGGGAGAAGTTGTTTTGGAGTGCAATTCTAGCAGGAAAACCATAGGAGTACTGAGCCTGAAAAACAGTTGCCTGAACTTTCAGGACAGACAACTAGAAAAAGGGAATTTAACTCTCTAATCAGGACAGGAGGCCTAGCTGAATCATCTACGGGAAAGAAGGTTTGAGGGAGTTGAAAAAAAATTTCTATTGTGTGCAACAGTAAACAAATTGGTGCAAAGATGGATCTCACTTGGACATTAATGTAAGGATTAAAACTTATTTCTTGAAGTCAAGAACTGCTGTTTCTGTAATACTTTTACTTATAAGAGATCTAACTTGGCTGAGACTTTTATCTACACAAAAGAAAAGGTAACAGAAGCAACAGCATCCTAAGATGCAGTCACGTGCAATTCCTCATCACTACAGAAAATCTGTGGCTGTAACCCTGTACTACTTTAAATTTCCTACTGTTAACCTATATAGTAACATCTTAGTCTCTTTGAGATCTACATTTAGTATTTAGCTTAAAACCAGAAGCATAAAAATTAATAATGATTTACCAACCACAAGTTCCCCAAGGGCCCGTGCCACCTAGAGATCTCATCAAGTTCACAATGTACTCTTGGAGGTCTTGGCACATCTTCGCCCTTTATTCTACATTGATTAGACAATCCATTTTTCCAAGACACAAAACTTCTCTCTTAAATACAATCAATTTCAAAACACAATAAATTTTGCTTCTTGGACAGAACCAAGTGTAATGAGTATTTCTTTGGGAGACTGATCCTATGACACTTAAAATGCTTCATAATTTCTCTGTAAATATTCAATATCCCTACTTCAACGCAAATGTAAATTTGAGAACATCCTTATTTTTTTCTTTTCTTTTTTTTTTTAATAAACATAACCAAACTAAATGTATATTGTCACTGGAGTTGCAGTAACTTGCTCCAGTGAGCAATATGATTCTTTTATTGGCATTCTTTGTTTGCAGTGTCCCAAAGGGTCATTGGGATGAAGCCAGTTAAAAGGGGAGAGAGACTGTTTGAAGATTCTTTTATCTAGTACATGGTGATTATTTTTTCCTCCTGCACATAGAAGAATGGAAAATAGGAACTTAATTTTCTAAATCATATTATTTTTGTGGCTATAATTTTATGGTTTGTCTTTCCCTGCATTAAGAATTTTTCTATTTAATCAAGTTTTAACTTGTTTTGCAAAGATCCAGCTTTGTAACCTGTAAAATCAAACTGTGCAGAATTCACATACGCAAGGTTAAAATTTACAGAGCATCTGAGTCTCAGGGTAACAATCTGAACAGAAAAAAACCCTTTTTTGAATAAAACTTGTTGTAAGATCTGATTAGATTGTCATAACGTGACTGATAAAGAGCTTTTTCTAGAAGTAGGAGAAGTGCCAGTTCTGCCATTTTTTGTTGTTCACTTGTGCTGGTATTATCTGATTATCTGTGGTTTCTTTGTAAGTAATTTGTTTATTTTGTGAGGGGTAGTTTAATAAAAATTAGATAATATAATCATAAATCCACTTAACTGAGCACACATACACTGCAATACATCACAATAGGTTGAAAGTGAACACAACTGATGATGCCACTGTCAACCACTTTGTGTTGTGGAGCTACTCTCCTCTCTCAGGCACCTCACAAACCCCATGTGGCCATCTTACACGTGGCTCAAGTGAGGGTACTAGCATCAATCCATATATGAAATATTAGTAAAGTTCTCTAATTTTTTTCAGATAAAAAATAAACAAGTTCTGATATTTTCTTCATGTACTCCAGTAGATTGTCATGCATTCATGCTGGCGTGTACACACACCACTTCAGACACCACTGTACCACTGGCTTTTTTAACCTATGATCAAAGCTACATATGCAAGAACATCTCAGTGTGCTCTAACTGTTCTTAAACCATCAGCATATATAGCCTCTTGAAGTAATGCATTTTACAATGCTTCATAGAGAATCTGAAGCTAAAACAAGCAATTGACACACAAACTTCCACTCTTGGTCTAGCAGAAACTACTATTGTTCTAGAAGATTAGTTTGCATAATGTCAGGCTGGAATGAAATAAAAATCACAGACAAAGATTAAACACTACAGTCAATTAATGACTAAATGATTTCAGCATTGTCCAGTTTACCAAGTAAGGCTGCCCAGTGAAGGGGAGTTCGAAACAAGTTGTCATAAGATGTTACATTGCAGCCTTCGTAGGAGGTCAGGACATCGACAACTGCTACATTCCCATCTGCAACAGCAAAATGAAGGGGAGTTCGTCCTTCATAGTCTTGCCAGTTAAGCAGAGATTCTGTAGGTGCAGCTTCCTTTAAAAAAAATCAACACAAAATTAAAAGATATTTAAATTGAAGAGAAGAACTACATACTCTTTACAGATTTTTTTTAGTCATATTAAGGAGATAAACTGTCCTTGTTCAGTAGACTATAGCTCTACAACCAAATACTTTTGTTACCATATAGACTACTTCCAAGTATTTCTTACAGAATTTTTTATACTGTATTATTGTACCAGATCTGATTTCTAGTATAAACCCTGTAGTTTTACCAGTTTGTTTTGCAAGTGGCTCCTTACACAGATTTTTAAAATACTAACTCAGACTCTTGAGAAAACAACTAGATCTTCTTGCATGATTTTCTATGATGAAAATGACATACATATCTTCATGTTTTCACCTAGAACACTCCTTTTTTTGCACAAGTTAATCTTATGGCTTTCTTTATAATATTTTTCTAGCATTTTACACCCCCAAAGTATTTCTAAAGGAGTTGTCAAGGTCTCTAGCAGACAGGATAAAAGTTAGAGAGTACTTCTAATGAATGCATCTACTTGTAATGGGCTTAATTTTGAATTCAAAAAAATCTTTTAAAGTATCAGTATCACATAACATAGGCACTAACAGACATAACTTGAGCTTTCATCACCTTTCCTAAAAAATAGGCTAAATTACTTTCACATAAGGCTCCTAGATATATAGTTTTGTGCTATGATAATTTCCTCTCTCATGACATTTTTCTCCAGAGATTTCTCTTCATTACTTTCTCCAGCAAAAGAACACAACAGACACAAATGAATATCATTTTAGCATTGTAGAGATCTCCAAATGTTGAGTATCATAAAGGTCCATGAAATACAAGCTTTAAACTTAACTTTCCTGAAAAAAAAAGAGGTATCACTAAAGAAAATGGTTAATGCTAATACAATAGAAACTCGGGATGCAGGACGCTAAACATCTAGAGCAGAAGCAGAATGTCAAAACAAGAGTTTAAATAAACTATAGGGAGTCAGTCTGCTGTTCTATCTCCACCAATTCAGAATAATACAGTAAAGTCATGGGAACCTTGTGTAAAAGAAAAAAGGAATGTAGTCCTGAGATTTTTAACTTCCAATGCTAGAGTGGATTTTAGTCCATGATAACTGAAAAAAGCAATCCTCCTGAAAATACAGAGCCATGCTATATATTACAATATAATTATGAAAGAGGAGTGAGAGACTGTGATCAGTGCAGCTTGTTAACAGTTAAAGCAAGTTCCTGATCCCTTTCTCACTAAACTAATCGCAATTTTTCCTATTGACTTCACTAGGTACACAAATAGGCCATAAAATCACTTGCATTTGCATTATTTGATGTGTAGAAACTAGTACACAGAAAACAAACATCTAACATTGAGAACGATAAATCAAGAAGAAAGTCAGGAAATTCCAGAGTTACAGTTTCTATTCAAATATTAATTGACCCAAGTTGTACATTCTGTATTTTCTATGTAATGGATAAAAAAAAGAATACATTTAGAGTAGTGTGCTGGTTTAAAGGTAAACCAGCAGGGGAAATGAACTCAACTCAAAAGAGAGATTACAAGTTAGAATAACAATTTAATAAAATAATACAGTAAGTATGATTATACAGACAAACAATTGGTTTTGACCCACAAACCCCAAACGTATAACCCAGCACCCTGGGGCATGAACAGAGTGGTGTTCTTTGGGCCCCCTGAGTCCAAAGTAAAAGGAGAGGGGAAAACCTGTTGGTGAGAGTGCTGTTGCAGTCTGGTGGAGAGTGGTGATTGCAGTCCGGTCAAGAGTGGTGGTTGCAGTCTGGTTGAGAGCGGTGGTCTGTAGTTTGGTTGAGAGTGGTGATCTGCAGTCTTCCTCTGGATCCCATGAGTGGTTAAAAAAGGTCCCAAGACTCCAAGATTATATATCCTCCAGTTCAGGCAGGAATGCCCAGCACCTCCCTCAGGGCGGGAGGTTCCTCAATGGGCATGAGGACAAGAGCACCCTCCTGTCTCACAGGCCTCTTAACACCCAGATTATAGCCTGAGGAGTCAGGCTCTATGGGCGGATGGTGTAAATGGTTCATTGATAACAGTTTCTGGGAAATAGCATGGAAGGCTATAGAATACACAGTTTTGGGTTACACCCATACAATGATGAACTGGTACCAGCTGTTCTAACTAGGACAAGTAGATTTCACCATATTTTCTAAGTGCAATCTGGCTAAGTTAATACTGTAGTAACTTCAACTCTGCAATGCCCTGATTCTTTGTTTCTTACTGTTTTACCTTCTTACAGTGTCAACTTAAACCTCCTAATATTTGATTAATATAAATTTTCTAGAGCTAAACATTTACATACTTAGCATACTGTATGTAAAACAGAGAATCACACCATAGTTGGCATTGGAAGGGACCTCTGGAGATCATCTAGTCCAACCCCCTGCTAAAGCAGGTTCATCTGGAGCAGGAGGCATAGAATCACATCCAGGTGGGTTTTGAGTATGTCCAGAGAAGACTCCATCACCTTTCTGGGCAGCCTGTTCCAATGCTCAGTCACCCTCACAGTAAGGAAGTTTTTCTTCATATTCAGATGGAACCTCTCATGTTTCAGTTTGTGCTCATTGGCCCTTATCCTGTCACTGGGCACTACTGAAAAGTCTGGCTCCATCCTCTTGACACCCACACTTAAGATATTTGTATATATTGATAAGATTCCCTCTCAGTTGTCTCTTTTTCAGGCTGAACAGTCCCAGCTCTCTCAGCCTTTCCTCCTAAAAGAGATGCTACAGTCCCCTCATCACCTTCATAGCACTTGGTTGGGCCCTCTCCAATAGCTCCTGGTTTTTCTTGAACTGGGGAGCCCAGAACTGGAGACAGGACTCCAGATCCCACCTTGTCAGGGCTGAGTAGAGGGGCAAAATCACCTCCTGTAACCTGCTGGCAGTGCATCCTTTCCGGGGACTGAGGCGATGCTGAATGGCCTGTAGTTTCCTGGGTCATCCTTCTTCCCTTTCTGAAGACACTGGAGTGACATTGGCTTTCCTCCAGTCCTTGGCTTTCCTGTTCTCCGTGACTTTTCAAAGATGATGGAGAGTGGCTTAGGAACAACATCTGCCAATGCTAATTAAATGCTAATTAAGTTGCCTGTCTCACATATAAAAAACTTCATCAGTTTTAGATTAGATATCAGTAGTGTTAGCCACATTTTCCTGGAGAAAAAAACTAACATACTTGGAACATACTGGAGTTCATTAATATATCTAGTACAGTAACAGATGATCTATTAAAAAACATTAAAAAATGATAAATGTGACTTTCAACTAAATACAATTGAAATTAATATTGTTACATGCACAAACCACAACAATCAAAGCATGTATAACACTTCTTACAATAAGCATTCAAAAGCATTTACCTGAACCAGTACAGTTCTGTGAAAAATTGTATGTTCTTCCCCAGCCTTAAGAATTTTCAAGAAAAAGATAACTGATAATATGCTTACTTTTTATCTATTCATAGACATCAGCAGGGGGAGTATAGAGCCCACTGCAAAAACTCCGTTTGTCAGAATCACTTTTAAGAATGACTAAACATGAATGACGATATGCACAGAAGTTATTACTGAGAGGAAAACATCTTTGAACAAAATGGACAAACAAGAAAACAAATGCTTCTTTACCTATAATTTATTGATGTAATCCTGATACCTAACCTTCAAGCCTTCCAGAGGCACAAGAACATACTAAATAAATGACTCCTAAAACTCCTCACTTGAAGTCACTGATGTTGCCAAAAACATATCCCCCATAGTAAAAAATGCTACTTTTGCAAAATGGTAAAGAATCTTCTAATTCATATTCTAGTCTAAAAGTTCTTGCGTGCTTTGAAATTTTTGGCCACTTACACTAAAATTTTTTAGGCTTCTTTCTGCCTACATTCAAGAGTATAATTTCTTTGGAATTTCAGTGGGTTTGGTCTAAAACTAGCTATAATTAAACTGTCATACTGTATTAATATTTTAAGAAAAATACACAGAAGAAACAGAAGCTAAGCATTTTTCTGTGGCAATTAGAACAATGGAATTGTAAATAATAATGGAAAGTGTGGTATAAATAAACGTCATGTCTCTTACCATGAAGAATAAATAAAGAGATACAAAATAGACAGAGAGTACTAAGCAGTTGCTTCCATCATATTAATGGAACCTTATTCTGTTCTTTTCTCCTTAAATCTTCCCAACGTTTTTCATGTAATCAAGCACTGCTGAATCTGGAAAGGTGGAAAAGGAAGTTGACCATGAGAGGATCTCCAAATTAGAGTTTCTCTCTGCTTCACATTTACTTTCTACATATGTTGAGTTCCATTTTCGCTGTATTTCATGGAATTCAATATTAGATATAACCAATTTGTGCATAACTGTGACCCCTGCAAACCCAATCTATTTCTTCAGAATTCAGTTGAGCTCTTTTCATTATTGTTTATTTTGGCAATATCAACGGACTTTGTACTATACAAATATCAAACAGAAAGATGACCTTATTGACAGGAGACAATAAATGGCCACAACCAAAGGCAGACTATAGAAAAACAAGACAATATTTGTCAGTACCATAGACTGTTGTCTCAATAAAACTAAAGCAACTAAACTTTTGTCAAGTTTTTGTAAAGCAGCACTGGAAAATTCCAAGTAGGACACTAGAGAAAAATAATTTTCTGGGGAATTCTTCCACAGTGTTAAAGATGGACTCTCAGGTAGATAAGGAACTGCTGCATCCAGAGTAGTAGTCACCATCTCAATGTCCCAATGGATATCGATGACAACTGGTGTCCCTCAGGGGCTACAAAGGAACCAGTGATATTTAATGTATTCATCAGTGACACAGACAAAGGGATCAAGTGCACCCTTAGTAAGTCTGCAGACAACACCAAGCTGAGTGGTACAGCTGACAAACCTAAGGGATTGGATACCATCCAGAGGGACGTGGACAATCTCAGGAAGTGGGCCCATGGGAAACTCGCAAAGTTGAACAAAACCAAGTGCAAGGTGCTGCACCTGGATTGGGGCAACCTCCTGTACCAATACAGGCTGGGGGATGAAAGACCGAGAGCAACCCTGCCAAGAAGGACATGGGAGTGCTGGTGGATGAAAGGCTGGACATGAGCCAGCAATGGATATTAACAGCCCAGAAAGCCACTTGTGTTCTGAGCTGCACCAAAAAGAGCGTGGCCAGCAGGTTGAGGGAGGTGATTCTGCTCCTCTACTCTCTCCTCTGAGACTCCACTTGGAGTACTTCATCCAGCTCTGGGGTCCCCAGTACAGGAAGGATATCAACCTGTTGGAGTGAATCCAGAAGAGAGCCACAAAGATGATTAGAAGGCGGGATCACCTCTCCTATGAGGAAAGACTCCGACAGCTGGGATTGTTCAGCCTGGAGAAGAGTAGGCTCTGGGGAGACCTTACAAAAGCCTTCCACTACCTGAAAGGGGAAGAAAGCTGGAGAGGTCCTTTTTCAAGGGCATATAGTGATAGCACAAGGCAGAATGATTTTAATCTGAAATAGGGTAGGTTTAGATTGGATATTAGGAAGAAATTCTTTACTGTGAGGGTGGTGAGGCACTGTACCAGGTTGCCCAGAGAAGCTGTGGATGTCCCATTCCTGGGGGCGTTCAAAGGGTTGGGTGGGACCCCGATCTAGCTGAAGATGTCCCTCTCCATCACAGGGGGGGTTAGACTAGATGACCTTTAAAAGTTTCCTTTCAACTCAAACTATTCTATGATTCTTTTAACTGTCAGACTTTTTAAAAACAAAACAAAACAAAAAATCCAGGCATGACCATGATTCTGTATTACCTAAAGAAAAACTTTGAGAACACCTCCAGTATGGAGACAGGTATTTTTAACCCTTTGTATGTAGTGCATCTCAATGAGACAGAGTTAATTTTCCTTGCAGCAGCAGGTATGGTGCTGGGCTTTATACTTCTGATTAAAACTGTTGATAACATACCTATCTTTTGGCTATTACTGAATAGTGCTTGCACAGCATTAAGGATTTCTCCTTTTTATGCCCTGCCCTGTCCTGTTACCCTGCTTCCCCCAGTGAGTGAATTTGGGGTGGGCAAGAGACTGCAACAGGACACAGCTGGGACAGTTGACACAACCTAACCCAAGCAATATTCCATACCATATAATATGTGCAGCAAAATAGCTCAGGGACAGGGGGAGGGCAGGGAGGATGCCCGTGGCTACACCATTTGCCTTCCCAAGCACAATTAAGCATGCTTCATGAAACTCTTTTTCCACTTTCCTGGGAGTGGCTAACATCTGCCTGCTGATGGGAATAAATTTCCTTTTTTGCATGCAGTTTTTGCTTTCTATACTGAATTGCCATTATCTTCACCCACAAGTCTTCTTGTCTTCCTTCTATTTTCTCTGTCTTGCAAGAGGGGAGGTAAATCAGCAGCTGTGCAGGTGTTAGGCTGTTGACTGAGGCCAACACAACACAACTATTAAAAACATTTGTCTTGACTAACTAACATTTGAAAATGTCTGTTTTGAATACACATATCCTTACATACTTTTCAGCAAATTTATTTCTCTAGTGTGGACCAAATTTTGTTTTTAACAAATTACTTCACAACTAAGTACAAATTACAAACATCTTGAATAAACAGAAGTAATACAGAAATAAAATTGCTTTAACACTGGAAACTTCTCAAATACTATTTTTATAGTAAAAAAAGGTATCACTAACTGTAAGATTGCTGATGTGATTTGGAGAGAAGCAAAGCAAGTTTTCACATGCCACACTTAAATTCTCAACTTTCCAGCTAATCAGGGAGACAGACATGTAAGTCCTACTAGCTGGCATACAATCACTATGTGTCTAGTTCTGAAAGATCTTTGAAAGACAAAGATACAGGAAGATTGTTGTAATGGGAGATAAAATTTCAATTGAGACTTCTTTATCTTTCCACGTTAATGAAGTTCAGAGATTTCTACAAAATAAAAACCACGGTAAAAATCAAGCTGAGCATATGATTTCATTGTACCCATTATTTCTGTCATTGTAGAAAATGAAACTGAAACACTGTAAAAAGAGAAAATATGCCATCAAGGCAAAAAGTATTAAATCCGTCCACAAAAACAGTGGAAGGTCTTTCAACAAACTGATTGTGGGCTGACTGATACTTGATCAAGTATTTTCCAGAATTCTGACTTGAAAGGCCAAATTAAACTAGACTTTTCAGCACAGTTAACTAAGAAAAAAACCTTTCAAATAATGAAGAAAAGACACATAACAAAGAAATCAGTTGCAAGATGCAACTGAAATGATCAATATGACTGGCCATTTTAACTATGAAAATTTGCAAGCCTGTCCTCCCTCCCTTACTCTCGAAATGAAGTTACATATATCAAACTAATTAAGAGCACACACATAGTCCATGAGTTAGAGCAAAGACATTTTTCTGTAGAACTCAGAAGAAACCCCTTTCAAGAGAGAAAAAATAGTAAAGATTTTTTTTAATAAAATTCTGGATATTAGGAAAAGCAAACCATTTCGTTCTCAGAGAGTCAGTGGACTAAAATAAAACATTTCAAGAGAATAAAAATATTTCTACAGAGTAAAATAGTAAATACAGAAAATGTTATATACAATAGACTTTCTTACCAGAATACATTTCACTGTGTGAATTGCACTAGGGTCCTTGTTGTTAGCTGCCCAGTGAAGTGGGATTTTTCCTTCAATATCAGGGATTCCAATATTTGAATCATGTTTTATGAGAAGTTTCACATGCTCTGGGTTATTGTAGTAGGCACTCCAATGCAATGCAGTTTGCTGGAACACAATTTTCACAAGTTTTACAAACACACTGAAAAATTATTGTAATCTGAAAATTAAAGTTGGTTAGAACCTGAAACACGATTTCACTACATTTTCACCAAATGAAAGAGATCACCTAGTCCAACTTCTCTGCTCAAAGCAAGGTCAACTAGAAAAGATTAATGAGGACACTGTCCAGTCATATTTTGATTTATTTCCACAGACAGAGACTCAATAACCTCTCTGGACCACCTGCTCCAGTGTTCAACCCTCCCCACAGTAAAAAAGTATCTTTTCAGGTTTAAACAGAATTTATTACATTTCAACTTATTCCCACAGCCTTGTCTGTTCAGTGGAGGCAACTCAGAAGTGTCTGGCTCCATCTTCTTTACTGCTTCCCATCAGGTGTTTATACACATTGATAAAATCACCCCAAATTGTCCCTTCCTCGGGCTAAACACTTGCAGATGTCTCAGCCTCTCCTTGATGCTCCAATCTCTTAATCATCTTTTGGCTCTCCACTGGACTCGCTCCAGTATGTCTATGCCCTTATTATACTAGAGAACCCCAAAGGAGGCAGAGCATTCCACTTGTCATGCCACCGGTGCTGAACCGGTGGAGGGCAGGATCACAGGTAAAACCAGATTTAAACAAGAGGTAAACGAGCCATCTTTTGTTACACTTCAATAAAGAGGACTGACAGAAAACAGAGCACATGTACCTAGGGTGGCTGACAACTCAAAATCAGCGAAAACAGGCTTTAAACAAGAGGTCCATCTACCTGAGTAAGTAGATAATCACACATCTTTGCTAACAAGGTCTGAATTAGGTCTAAGCTACACCATCTTACATGAGACCTATACTGAGAAACCCTTATGTTTGGAACACAAGTATCTTTAGTAGGAGATTAATTGCTTCATATTTATTGGGCTATGGCAGGAGAATAATGCCCATGCTACTTAGCATTCCCCGTTGACTATTTGATGCAGCAGCTTCAGACCTGGAGAAAATACCTGTCCTTGGTATTCAGCAGTTGTGTCCAAGTTAGAATGATCATCTGAAGCAGGCCTCAGCACCAGAGCTGCACTACAGAACAACTGCAATAAATAGTGTGGTCTCTCTTAAATGTGAAAATCTGTTGGAATAACACAAATTGATGGAGAAGTGTATAACAAGACTACTCTTCACTAGAGGTAGATGGCACTGAATGCTGACGCTGGACTTGGATTCATCTTGAGTAAAGCTTTTCACTTTTTGTACTGTCTGTGATGACTCAGAATTCTGAGGTTGAATATTACTGAATCTAATGCCCAATGACCCATAACAGTCCAATAAAACATCAAAAGGCAATCCATGCTCCTATTGCCAATTCCATGCCAGTGGTATATTTTTATGGGCCCTATTGCTGTTGATAATTACATAAGTAAACCAATGTGTGGGGTTTCATAAACAGCAAAATGTTGGCATATTAATAAGTATTTTATTTTTCAGACACACCTCTCCCAACTGCCAAGTAACAGAGAGTTTTAAGATACCAAATTGATTTTATTCTCCATCTCTCTTACCCCCTCTCCCCTGCTAAATATGACATGGCACTTTGATTCAGAAACTGAGGAAAATAACTGCTGTGGGACATTTGTGTATGGAAGTACAATGTCCTGGACTAGCATCCTTGGACAGTGACATAGAATCTCTGAGTCCACTATCATATATTTAGTATCTCTGTAAAGGAAGAAGGAAAAAAGGAGCCTATTTTTCTGTGTTTTTTGCTTTAAGTCATTAGTTTAGTATTGATAACAATACTTGTCTACTTGGTAATTCACTGGAGAAGAGCTCATTCTAAGGTATAACTGGAGGGGCTGTAAGGAAACATCTGATAACTGGCACTACATACAAGGACATACAGCCTAGCACCATAAAGTGCCACCAGAGCCTGTTGGGATTTGAATTGAATAAACTTGTAGCGGTAGAAATTTGTAATACATTAATGAATATTATTATTAATTGAAGCTGACTACTATCCCTAGAAACTGACAGTTGCACTGAAAGCAGAAACTTTTGGTTACCAAAAGGCCAATGTAGCCTTGGTTCACTGGCTTCTTTCACCTACAAACAGTTTCAGCCAGCTGCCTACATGGAAGTAGATGTAAAAAAGACACTTGTTGTGTCTCATGTTCAGGAATTATATTTGACAATCTTGATGCACACAGTTGCAGTATGGAAACTGAATAAGCTATGTGTCCAAAAGGGTCAAATATGTTGGACTCCATCCCTGAGATGGCCTTTCACCAACCTGAATTCCATTTTCGCTACTGTGATTATTCATCACATGAAGTGGGAGAAAAGTGCTCTACGTTTTGTGGGGAATCTGGCAATGCTTTGAATACTGTCTTGGAAATCTGCTAAACAACAGGCAAGGTTCCTAAAAGGTTTTGGCTCATTTTTATATACCTTTGTTAATTAATTAACATGGTCAGGAAGTCAGCACGACCTCTCCAGAATGACTGCTGTAATTATAGCCAGGGTTTCCACGATACGTGTTAGAACACCCTGGAAGGAAAACAGCTGATTGCCAGGACACAAGCTGGTTCAAATCCATTGTCCAGAGGGGACAGAAGATTCAGTTGTTGGAAACTGTGCTTGTAGCTGTCTTATCCTGTTTCCTAGATGATAAAATCAGATAAGGATTTCAGATTTTAAGCAGATACATCACTAGAAAGTCAGATCTCCTTCTCATACTACGTCCTCTTGTGGTAGAATGTGAGCTACGGAATGATGACTTCCACTAAGCCCAGACTTGCCAAGCTAGTATGTTATCAGCTGATCCAAATAACTTGATCAGGGCACTCACATTTGAATCAGTGGCAGATATTCCAAGATCACTTATAAACTGTAAGAAAGGGACTTTCTTGCTCAATGCTTAAAAAGCCTCCATCACCAGGAACAGTTCCAGTTGTATTCAATACCCTTCCAGTGGTAGTTACATAATTCGGTTTTGGTCTTTCTTTTGCTATCTACATTCATAATGTTTCACTTTTTGTTATTATATCCTTGCAGAAAAAGAACAAGCTCAGGGAATATTCATATCTCTGCATTCTTTGAAAGAAGTCTCTTTTATATTTCAGGATACACAAACTGCTCAAACACATGAAATTTAAACTAGATATTCACAGATTAACACAGGTCCACAATAATTACTAGAAATCTGCCTACTAAAGGCAGTGTGATCATCTCCCAAACAGAACACGGATCAAGCATGTCAACAAAAATGATTAATCTGTTTTGTTCAAAACGTATATGGAAACACAAGAAACCCTTTACGTAGAACGTCTGCAGGACTGTGTGAAAGTCTGATGCTTTCTTATACCCTACTATTAATGCTAATGGACACAACCATTTCACATTTGTTTTAAATCAGGCATTGCTAGGCACTCAAAATTAAGAGCCACACTAATCTGAGCACCTCAAAATTTACAGTGACTATATGCTCAATAACTATTCCTTCTTTTAAAATGAGTTACTATGCTATTACTGTGGACTAGCATTACCTCTCTGTATGAAGAGTAATAGTAAATCAGTTTTTTTAAGAACGCTTTTCTTCTACCACTTTTCTTCTATGACCTGTCATCTCTTATGGGTGGTCATTCTAAGGACAGTCCTTTTTAACAAACATCAGTAGATTATTTCCTGAGGCTCTTAGAAGACAGTGTGATTCCAAAGCAGGCTGGTAATTTTACTGATGTGGTAGAGCATGACTTGACTTTGCAAAGGGACATGACACAACTCAAGACACTACAGGCACTATATGATACACCTGGAAAGTCATCTGCAGACTTCCTGGCTTTTCAAGCAACTGCTATCACTGCAGATGCAGAAAATTACTCTGAAGGGCTTTATTCTAAGAAGGTAGTAATATAAAACTCTGAGATCTCAAGATTACATTTTCTCCCAAGGAAGCCTGCAGTTTCACAAAATAAATGTCAAAGTGACTAACTGGTGCTCTGCTTCAATTGTAAGTCTCACGCCAGAATGTCAATCAACTTCATCATCACACCCCTCTCGCTAGATGACGCACTCATGGAAGCAACGGTACATGTGCATTGAAAGCAGACCTTCTGCTGCCAAATAGTCCCTTTTATGATGATAGTAATAATAACAACAACAACAACTTGATACCTTTTATTGACCCTGTTAGGAAATTGTCTGGACAAATGGTATCACATTCTATCCCACACAAAAAAGTCATGTATGACTAGGAGACTCAAAATTGTCCATTTGTACTTGCAGAGATACAGAAGAAAGGGCAGTCAACCAGATAGATTTAGTGTATGGATATTTTTACCCCTAGACCATCCCTATGGATAGAAGACAAGGAGTAGAAGTGAGGAAGTAAATCTGAGCCAGGAGAAAAGGTGCTGGGAGTGGTGGTTTGAAGGTGGTGTTCTAATTTTTTCTCGGTTTCTTACTATACAAAACTATTTTCATTGTCAATGAATGAAACTGATTTTCTTTATGTTTAGTCTATTTGGCCCATGAGAGTAAATGGTGATCAATACTCCTGTCTTTATCTCAACTCCTGAGATTTTCCAACTATTTTCTCTATCTGTCCCCATGAGAAGGGGGAGTGAGAGAGTGGCTGAGTGGGTATTTGGCTACTTTCCAAAGCTAAATCACGACACACTTCTAGAAGTCAGCACCTATGGAGAACTGTATCGATATCACCACCATTGTAGTGGACCCAGTGCAGAGTAAAATCAATCATCACCTTGTTGGCAGGACATCTGCCAACAGGGAACTTGCATTCAGCTCAAGATATTTCCTTTTTTTTTTTTCTTTTTGTAATTAAACTCACCTTTCGTATTGACAAATGCTTCGAAGGCCTTCTGCACAAAGTTTTCTAATGACTCTTATCATTAAATGATTCTAAATGTAAGGTTTTTCCAAGGAAGAAAACAAAGAGGATTTTTGAATCCTCTATTGTTGCAACTATTCTCAAGAAGAATGTCAGTGAACTCAGTGCAATGAACTTTGACATCATTAACATAAGGAAAATATTAATATTTCTATTTTGAAGACCTAGAGCAGTTTATGACTGAGATAATTTTCACACACATCTGTTTGATGGAAATCCAATTTCTACAGTTGCTAAAAGTGTTGTCTTAAAATAAGCAGAACTTTTACCTTATTTCTATCCTGAGTATCCACTTCTCCAGGTGCCATATGTTTTAACAACAAAGCTAAACATTTTGGGCTTTTGTGACGTGTAGTTAAATGTAATGGTGTCATATCCTCCAAGTCCTTCTGCATCCAGTTCCCTCTACGAGCCAGTAAAAGTTTCATGAATCGGTAATTTCCCTGGGTAAAGAAAAACAGCAGAAATTTATTTCAGTTTATCAAAGCAAATGATGATACTGCTTAGATATATTTACTATTGTAATACAGTGACTAAAAAATCTGCATCAAAACAGCTCTAAGCTTCGGAAACATATTTTTTTTTTTTGTTAAAAAACATGAACTCTTTATTTTTAAGTCTATTGTGCTGGTATTAGATGCATATATTCCATTAGCAGAGTGTGTAAGATAGGGTTCAGTAACAACGAAAATTCTGCAATATTATCAGAGTTTCTTAACTGTTTAACATCAATAAACATAAGACCATTACATGCCGGTTTCAGCATAGTAAACAGTTATCAGATGAGTAATAAAACATGATGAAAGAACACAATTTTAAAAATGAAATTAAGAAAAATTATGAGGAATGAATGATTCAGAATGATGCCTTAAGCCCCTAATTTTTTTTATTTTTCTAATATTGGTAAGCCTTATAAGTTTTATAAGTAGATTTTAAAAGCAGCAACCCTCCCTCCTTTGTCCCTTGCCCCTTTCCCTTTCCCTCTAGCACCCTTTACACATTCTTTAAACCTCTTACCCCTGAATACAGCAGAAATGTTTAGTCTTTTGTCAAGGCAAGGTCTAGATCGTTGGCAGAACAGCATATCAGGGCCTAAACCACAGAACACAGTCAAGAATTGGGTGACTATGTACCCTTTGTGCTCTGATGAAGAGAAAGATGGGATGAACAGAGTGTCCCGAAACACACCCCAGACCCATTTTCAGGGGGTGGACCGGGGGCGGACCAGAGTAAAGGCCACAGGGTGGACACATCTGGGATTGGATGGATGGTATTATAAAATGTAACCTCTCAGGCAGGGCCTGCGCGCGTCCTGTAACATCTTCTGCCTTGGCAAAATAAACCCTTTCTTATCTCACCCCTAATTAACCGCTCTGGAGATTTTTTCAGCACCTAAATTCCACGGCAACAAGAAAGATAAAATGTTCTCATCTGATTAAGTAAAAAATATATGCAAAAGTGATCGTTTCATACATTTTTACATTCTTACATTTTTAAATTTGGAACTGTAGGAGTTTTGATCCTGCAGCACAGATGATAAATAGATGGGACGGTTTCAATGACACACTGAAAATACATCACACTTTGGACTTCCGCTAGGTTTTCACTACGTTTTCAAAAGAAATAATGTAGAAATGTTCCTGTGATCAATAAATGAAGGTCAATCCCCCAAAAAACAATCTGGGTTTATTTCTCAAACCACTGAAGAAGCTGTCAAAAATTAAAGATGTGATCATGCCATCCTGAAGAAGCTGTAGTGATTTAAGGGATAGCCAGCCTTGACTTGCTACTGTCCCTTACTTGGAGATTATTTTCCATATAACAGAGATGCTTCTGCTTCATGAAATCTGTTGGGTTTATCAAATCACCTTCAGTAGTTAAGTTTCAGTGAAGGACCAGCAACAGCTGGAGCAATAATTCATTAAAACAAAACATCTGGACCTATCTTGTGTGATCATGTTTTAAATATCTCTGTTCTTACCCCACTCTAACTTTTAACCTTTCCAAAAGTGAAAGGAGTCTCCTAACTTTGCTCACTGCCTTCCAATGTTTCCCAAAATATTAGCTTTTGCCAATTTCACATGTGGACAATTACCTATACATATAATGAAAACAGAAAGCTCAGAAGAGAAGATAAATTGTACTAATTCCTCCCCGCTCAGGAAAAAGCTGGAACATTTGATGAAGCCTTATTAGACCATGTACACAGGAAAGGTGACACCCAAATCAACAGAAGTCATGTCTTTGGATTTTTCTGCTTATGGAATGATCTGCAAATTAACATACTTCAGTCTGCCACAATTCTTTCATAAATCCTGTATGTTAACTTAGTCCCTTTAGGCTGTCTTTGGAAAAACAATGAGAAAAGGTAACCAAGTAGACAAAGGCAAGCAGTGCTAATGAACAGGGGCACTTCTGTATCTCATAAGACTCAGAATTGCAAATCACTTTGTCAGTAGAATGATAGGGTAGAGATGGGCCAAAGGATCCCAGAGGCCACCACAGCATCCAGTGCCAGGGCATGAAAATATTCAAGTTTCCTTTTTCAAAGTAGCCTTAAACACTGGGAGGGCATATGTTACATATGTTACTGTTCTGGTTTTTGTCTAATAGAAATGGAAGACTTGAGCTTTATGCATGCAAAATGGATTTCACCAAGTATAGCCAAAATAAATAAATGTGACCTTTTCCCCCTGCTACCCTATTTTATTTTAAAATGCAAAACAGGGAAAGCAAACCATGAATGACCTCAGACAAAATAACCTCTTCCTGCTTCTGACCATTTATTTTCATTGGTCCTTGCTCTTCAATGAAAGCCTACAAGAAAAGTCTGCCAAAAAACTTACCACAAACCTGCCTGAAAATGCAAACTTCTCTTGCCAGAGACAGCACGGCCACTACAGCATTCACAGTGAGAAGTGACCAAATCTCTTTCTTCTGCTGGGTGTCAGGGAAAGCATAACCTTAGGATTTTGTCCCTTTAATATGCAGACACACATCAAGGCATACACTGAAGTACAGGGGTAGAACAGCAAAATGTCTGTAGAGCTACTAATCCACAGTGAACATGCTCAAAATGAATTCATGATAAGTTTGGGAATGAGCTAAGCAAGAGAAAACTCCTCATTATTACCACTGTATTTTACAGGCAAATAGAAGAATTTACAAACTCATTAAAAAAGAAAAACAGAAACTAGCAAAAAAATCTCAAATGTATCATGATGGGGTTGGCAATTAGACTGGAAGAAGACAACATTAAATAACCTGAGAGAATATTAGTTCCGGAAGAAATATAGCTACGTTTCTTCATCACAGAGGATAATGCATTTGGTTTGTTTTCAGTTTTTCCTGCTCAAAGTGCATGCATACCCATGAAAGAAAAAAAAAATTGATTTTCTTTTATTGATGGATACTTATTGGAAGATTTACAAGTATATTCTTCTTTTTGAATGAATTTCACTGTAAAGAACAGTTAAAAAATTTAAAATAATTCATAAGACTAAGAAAACATGCCTTTTTATTATTAGAATTTCTTTGCCTATACTGTATTTTATTTTTGCTGTTACACATTTTTCCACCAGTTACTACTACATTATTCTCTTGCATGCTTAGCCACCAATAATCCCTCTCCTTACCACATGAATCTATAATAAATCCCTTCATTCTGAAACACAACAGACTCTGTTTCTTCCAAATTGTGGCAGATTTTTTTAAAACACCGCAACAGGAAACACCTGTGCTTACATTACTTATTTGAATTATCTTATCCATGTTCTTACTTCTGACTGCTGTTCTTTTCTTTAGTAATACCATGAATGTTGCTGTGTTTCTTTCACTTGTCAGAAAACTATACCATCCTTTTTAATGACAAAGGAAAATTTCCCCACTTTCAACTGATTACTGCTTAAGTTTGTAAATATGCAATGTATCAACATGACTTGAAGGCAGATTTAATTTAGGTCTCTCTAGGTGGTGGGAGGGAAAATGTATGCCTAATTTGAAAAACCAATTCCTTCATTTTTATAAAATTCTTGTGTATAAAAAGTCTTCAAGCTTGTACTTAATTGTCCTAAAAATCCCTGGGCAGCATAAAGTGCTTTGAGTCAGTTCACAGTCTCTTCCCGTTAATAGTGTCTCAAAAACGATTCTGTTATACAGTGAAAACATTCTGAGCAAACAAGATTAAATATTAGTACAGAGAACTCAGTTCCTGGTAGCCAAAATTTACTATTCCAATGCCAATTCTTAAAATTCCTTTAGATTCAGTTTAAATTATTTTTAGTCAAAAGACTCAACTCTGTATGCAAACTACAGCACAGCTGATAAGAGGCTTCAGCAGAACCAGAACAAATACTTTTGCTATTTCAAAATTTCAGCACATATACTAACTGCAATGGAGTATAACCCAGTTTTTGGTAGACAAACAGTTCAATAAGCAACCATTGCTCTGCCATCAAGCAATGACTTTGAAGAAAGTTCTGGACCCCAAGCCAAGCTTAACTACTAAGCAGTCAGAAAACCTCTCCTTTCCTGAACATTTCAATAGAGAAAAGAGTGATGAAAGAAATATCTTAATCAGAATCGATGAATTTGCCAGAATTCAGATTATCCCTGAAATGGAAAAACTTATCCCCAAAATTTTAAATTCACCAAAAAAAAAAAAAAAAAAAAAAAGCTGCCTAGTTCTTTCCGTATGATTCTAATGCAAGGAAGAGGTTCTAGCGGAAAATTGCCAGTAAACTTTTCTACCTACTTTTCTGGGCCTAATGTGATTATTTCTTCACTCATATAAAGTATCTTTTTCAACCTATTTTATCTCCCTGGTTTGTTGAGTAAGAGTAGTGAGAGAGCAGCTAGGTGGGCATCTGTCAAACAGCCACAGTCAGTCCGTTCCATATGGTCACCAAAGTGAAAGAGTACAGAAGAAAAACCAGCTCTGTTCTAAAAACAGTGACTGAACCTAACGTGGGCATATGGGTATCAGGAAAGAGAGTGATTCCAGCATCACTGCAAAGCCACTCGAATATCTAGAGCCCTTCTGGGTCAGGTTTCAGCCCTTCCCCAAACACAGAGACACAGGTTCCTACTGGTCCAGTGTCCATAACAGTTCAATAGTACTGCAACATTTAGATCAATCATATTCTTGTATTGCTGTTGGGAAGGGTTAAATGATGTTACCCACCTCTACTAGCTGGCTCTCTCTATTAACAGGTAGCACAACAGACCAACCAACTCAACACAAAAAGGCTATCACAAAAACACAGCTGTGCAAACAGTGTAGCACCCAAAATGAAAAAGAGAATTTGGCAGTTTTTGTTCCCCACATGATAACCAGCAGTATAAGAAAGATTCAGAGTTGTTAATGGATTTTTTTAATTTACCTTTTCAATACAAGTAGATAATTTAATACATTCCAAGGCACAGCGTTAAAGCCTGAAACTTA